CAGTGACTTTCCACCCACACGGTCGTCTCCCGACAAGCTCCCACATCCTTGCTGGGTCTGGCTGACCTGGGAACACACACCCACTCATCCCTTCACCATCACTCCAGCCTCTGGAACACGCAGCCACTCACTAGCCTCAGCAGGGCTGCTCAGTTCTCCCCGAGGAAAGTCTAGGTCAAGGAAAGTGTCTTCATCTCCTGATGCAATCCCCAGTGGTCAACAGTGCCAAATTTTGCCAAAAAAAAAAAAAAAAAGATCAAATAAGGACTGAAAGGTGCCATTAAATTTAGTCATGAAGGAGTCCTGGGAACACTAGTGAGCACAATTTTCAGGCGACAGAATGGGAGGTAAATGAACACCAGTGGGGGGCCCCGAAAGGAGGGAGAGGGACATTGAACCAGGAGAGATCTTAGAAGAATGTGGCATCTGCACAGGTCCCTGAAGGTGACGTTGACAGGCAGAGAGTGGCATAAGGGGGCGGAGTGGCGAGGTCATTCTGGGCAAAGGGCTGGCGCGAGCAGGAAATCAGGAGGCAGGTCCAGTCTGTCTGGCCTTGGAGTAGCCTCTCCTGCTTTCCTGTAGTGCTGGTGGTGGGGTGGGCACGGCAGCAGCCACTTCTGAGAAACCTGCCAGCTTTGGGGTGTGTGGTTTATCGTGGCCTGGGGCTGTGACAGGCTCTGTCTGCAGGGCTTGGGCTTCATGGGCTGGGGCTGTGGGAGTTTGCCCAGACAGCGTCCGGAAGTCGCCAGGAGCCCTAGCTCAGCCCCCTCCAGGGAGAGGAAGCAGCAGGGCCATGAGCTAGGGGTTAGTGCTACCTTCAGGACCTGCTTCCTGGTGGGAGATGATGCTTACACAGGGGGTGTGGTTCTCAGGGTGTGGGGTCCAGACCAGCAACATCGGGAGAGGTCAAATTCTCAGGCCCATCCCAGATCTACTAAATCCAAAACTCTGGGGGTGGGGCTCCAAATGTGCCATTCTAACAAACCCTCAGGTGGTGCTGCAGGTCCAGGGACCACACTCTGAGAACTGCTATCCTGGAGGAGCTGGCAGTTCCATCTCCTTTGAGCTCTGGGGAGCACTGGTACTAGCAGGACCAGCCCGCTCTGAGCTCCCACAAAGCAGTGGTCAGGACTTCCGTGGTGCAGCGGCACGGGGGCTAGGGCTCTCCTTTGGAGGGGCGAATGCTGACCTTGAAGACGGAGAAATGAGGCTGTGGGACTGGCACCAGGGCAGCCCGCCGCAGAGTCACGGCAGGCCTTTGGCAACCTGCTTAGTGGCCAGGAGGTACTCTGTCTCTTTGTGTGACCCTGGGGCAGGTAATCAACATCTCACAGCCTCAGTGTCCCCATTTGTGAAGTGGAGATGGTTGCCTCTACCTCAGTTGCTTTGAGGAGCCATGAGTCACCACACATTGGGTACCTGGCACATAGTAGGACTGCAGAATAGACACATAGTAGGACTAATGGCACTTCCCTCCCTCTGCCCGTGGCAGCACTGTCTTGAGCTGCCTGTCCTGTCTTCTGCCATCTCACACACTACAGGCCCCAAGGGTGTTTCCCAGGCTGGGAGATCATATTGGCCTCAGGGACCTTATTTAGTATTCAACATCCCACTTTAGAAAATTGGAGGCCACCTCTCTTCCCTTCCATTCACCTTCCCTCCCTAGACAGTCCCCACTTAATCCAAAATACAGCTTCCCTCCCACCAAAGAGCCCCATCTCAAGATAGAAGATGTCTCTCAGCTGCTGCCAGGAGAAAGTCTCAATTCTGCAGTCGGGTCCCGGCGCCCGGGCAGTCTCCCTCCTGGCCTGGGCCACCTCTGCAGCCTGGCCAGGTGGCTGAGCAGTCCCCTCTATGATAAATTGGACAACCAGTCTAGACAGTGTGTGATCCCCTCTGCGTTTACTCTGAGGGAGGGAGACTATGTCACCACCCCTCATGCTGGGGTGCGTCCAGCACCAGGCAGCAAGGGGGAGTCACCGGGCAGGAAAAGGGTTTCTCCAGACAGTGCCTGTGCTGCCTGTCAGGTGACATCCCCCACTGCAGCGAAGCTGGTGATGGACGTCATGTGGAGCAGGTCCAGACAGACACGCAGCCTTCATTCCTCTGGGCATGGAAAGGGAAGGCAGCCTCAGCCAGGCTGGTTTCTCGTCTCAGCGGAGCTGCGAGCTGGGGCTCTGTCCTTCTCAGGGACCATTCCGTAATCCCGGTTCATTGTGAACTGGAGCTTTAGTGTGATTGCTCAAGACCCTCCCCTCTTAAAAACGAAAGCAGCCCTGCCTCCACCCCTTGCCCCTCTCCACTCTGTCCTCTCCTCCTTCCGCACAGCCCAGCTTCCCCACAGAGCGGCAGGCCCTGCTGCCTCCACTTCCTCATGCCCCACACCTGCCTTGGTTTGTCGACACCCGACCTCTGTCCCTACCCCTCCTCTGACACTGCTCTCACCTAGGCAGCCCTGCTAGGTGCTAAGGGTTCATCTAAGTCCTTACCTTTCCAGAATTCTCCATGCATCTGGCACAGCTGACCATCCCTTCTTGAAAAGCTGTCCTCAGTTTCCATCACACCCCTCTCCTGGACGTCCTCCAACCTCTCCGACTGTCTCCTCTCTGTTCCCTCCACGCGCCCCTTCTTCCCCCTCACCCTTCAATGATGCTGACCCCAGGACCTTGTCCTTAGTCACTGCTTTTCTCACTCAGGGCAATTTCCTCAAGGGATTGCACCTGCCCTGGCCTCCCTCTGCACTTCTGTGCACAAGTCCTAAACCCTTCCTCGGAGCCCCTGCCCCTTCATCCAGCGGCCCACTCGACATTCCACTTGCGTGTTCCACAGGCATCCCAAACCCGGCAAGCTCACGACAGAGCTGATGAGCTTCGCCAAATCTCCCCTCTGCCGTGCTCCCCTCCTGGGGGAAGTGTCCACCTTTCACAGAAAATTAGAGGAGCACATGAGGAATTGGAAACAGAGAAAGAAGAAAACAAAATTTCCACGGCCCCCGCTCACAGAAGTAACTGCTTTGACTATTCAGGTGTTGGGCCTTCCAGCCTTCTCTCTGTGCTTTTCATAGTCCCATTTTCCCACTTAACATTTTAGCATAAGGATGCTCCCATGTTGTTACCAATTCTGCATAGCTTATTATTTTAAAACTGTTTGGAACAGATAACACATGAATAGAGCAAATATTTCAAGAGGACAAAATGGGATATGGTAAAAAGTCAGTCTCCCTCCCACCCCTGACCCCCGATTCACCCAGTGCTGTCCCCAAGGCAACTGCTGAGACAGGTCCTCTGCATATCCTGCTAACGCTATTCCTGCCCACAGAGCAGGCGCGACCCCCACCCCCTTTCACACATAGAACAGTGCAGCATACACCCTGTTCGACACCTCCCCTTTTTCATTTAAGAACCTATCTTAGAAATCATTCCACTTCTGCCCACAGAAACCTTGCTCATTCCCACTTCCTGATTTTTAGCATGCCGCTGTGTGGTGATACCGTGGGCTGTTTGGCTGGTCCTCCACTGAGAGACGATGAAGTTGCGGCCAGTCCTGGCTGTGATAAACCAGACCGCAGTGAGGCTGCACTGGGCTGGGGCCGTTGGCCCCGGAGAGGAAGGAACAGATGTGAGGGGAGTTTTTTGTTTTTTATTTTTACTTTTTATTGAGATTATGATAGTTTACAACCTTGTGAAATTTCAGTTGTGCATTATTGTCCATCAGTCATGTTGTAGGTGCACTACTTCACCCTTTGTGCCCACCCCTCACCCCCGCTTTCTCCTGGTAACCACTAATCTGTTCTTTGTCCACGTTTAACTTCCACCTATGAGTGGAGTCATATAGAGATTGTCTTTCTCTATCTGGCTTATTTCACTTAACATAATATCCTTATCAAAGTCCATCCATGTTGTTGTGAATGGGATGATTTTATTCTTCTTTATGGCTGAGTAGTATTCCATTGTATATATATATACCATATCTTCTTTATCCAATCATCGGTTGATGGTCAATTAGGTTGCTTCCACATCTTGGCTATTGTGAATAATGCTGCAACAAACATAGGGGTGCATGGGACTTTTGGAATTGCTAATTTCAAGTTCTTTGGATAGATATCCAGTAGTGGGACGGCTGGATCATATGGTATTTCTATTTTTAATTTTTTGAGAAATCTCCGTACTGTTTTCCGTAGTGGCTGTACCAGTTTGCATTCCCACAGTAGTGTATGAGGGTTCCTTTTTCTCCATAACCTCTCCAACATTTGTTACTATTTGTTTTGTTAGTTTTGCCATTCTAACAGGTGTAAGGTGATGTCTTAGTGTAGTTTTGATTTGCATTTCCCTGACGATCAATGATGATGAGCATCTTTTCATGTGCCTATTGGCCATCCGTATATCTTCTTTGGAGAAATGTCTGTTCATGTCCGTGAGGGGAGTTTTGAAGGAAGAACTGATGAGGCTAGGAGAAGCTGCTCACCGGAAACAGGGTGACAGGAGGAAGCACTGGTCACAGGTCCACCATGAGCCTGCTTCAGAGCTTGTCGGCATCGAGTGGAAGGAGAACATTAGAAAGACGAGGGGCCTCTAATTCAGGCTAAAGCACAAGAGGGAGGTTAACGCAGAGTCCTGGGCCGGAGACTGAGCTCACGGAGGATGGACACGGTGCACGGTGCCAGGCCCTACGTGGCTCCTTTACCCTCACACCCCGAGAGGTGGGCAGGTGATGGAAGGCGGTGGGCTCAGGGCCTGCTTCTCTACCGCAGCACAGGCCTCATCCGTGAGGGGGATGACTGAGTGGACCCTCAATATTCAGAGGGGAACAGAGGGGACAGAAGTGCCTCGGAAGAGGCCCCGCATGTGGAACCCTTGTGATCTCATACACTGAATTCAGAGCATCGTCCCTGGCCCTGTCAGGCCTCTGAGCGGCAAGGCCCTGGATGGAGTGGGCTGTCTGGGGTCCCCCGGGCCCTGGACCTGCCTCCTCTGACCCAGGGCCTGGGCCCTTTCCCGCAGGTCCTGCCCATCATCGTCTTCTTCAGCTGCATCATGTCAGTTCTCTACTACGTGGGCCTCATGCAGTGGGTGATCCTGAAGGTGAGTTCCCAGCGTCCGTGGCTGGGCTCTCCCAGAGTCACCTGCTCCCAGGGTCAACACCCTCTGAGTCTACCGCTAACCAAACATCCTGTCACAGAGTCTCCTGCTGTGATACTAAGGAGAAATGGCACCGAAATCCAGTGTGGTCTTCGTGGGAGGGAAGTTTGCAGAACTGAGGCTGCATGGAGAAGTGCTAGGGGAAAAGATAATTGATACAGAAAAGCTCTCAAGAGGCGGGAGCAGCGGGCCACACGGGTCAGGCTTAGCTGGTGTAAATGTCAAATCCTGTGCTCATGCTCATAAAATCTGCTGCACAAAACCGGGATGCTGGAGGCAGCACTGGGTGACGCTGGACCTGGCAAAAGATGCTGAGGCTTTAGCTGATTGAGCCAAGAATAAACCAGCACCTTCAGGGGGCTGCCAGAAATGCAAACCCACCCATGGCCATGTTAAGAGCACACAGTGCAGGGCATGAGGGAGACAGTTATCCCCAAATCTGGAGAATGGGTTCAACCAAGGGGCTATAAACTGAACCCTCGGCAGGAAAGGGAAAGGACCCGACACCATACCCTCCACGGAGTGGCTGAAGGAAGGAGGACAATGGGCCTGGAACAGAGAAGGCCAGGGTGGAGGAGGGTAGGGGTAGGAGAGCTGCCTCCAAATACTTAGAGCAGAAAGATTAGGGAAAGGGCAGCCTGGCAGGAACAGCAGGGGAGAGAAATCCCAGGGAAGCAGATTTTGTGCTGGTTGAAAGGAAGAACTGTCTAATTCAGTGTTACCCAAAGCCTTTTTCACAACACTCTAGTTCCATAGCAGGTTATTAAATAACTAGTAGGGAAAGGGATCCCCTGGTTAAGTGATTTTGTGAAGCTAGGCTAGACACCAGGCTAAACAAATTTAAATAAGTTTCATGCAGGACTTCTCAGAGCCTTTACTAAGTTAATATGTATTAGTAATCTCCAAGGGGTGTGTGTGTGTGTGCAGCAATTCTCAAATATATTTGACCAAGGAATCCTTTTCTCATGGATGGTAAGCCCCTGTCAGTCAATGGCTGTGTGGAAGGAGAGGATGAAGGGACATTTGGAGGAAACGTAGATGAAGGAGTCCTAGCTGGGTTGGGAGTTGTAAGGTACTCGCACCCCTGACACCCTCTGACACTGGGGCTTGCTGATGCCAGCCCACAAAGAGCACCCTGCTTCCTCCTAGATCGCCTGGCTGATGCAGGTCACCATGGGCACCACGGCCACCGAGACCCTGAGTGTGGCTGGAAACATCTTTGTGAGCCAGGTAGGTACGGCAGCCTCCTGCCCTCATGCTCATCAGCAGCATCTCCAAGGAGGGCGGGCACCTTGGGTCCCTGGAGCTCTGATTCCCCCAGAGGAAGAGCCGTTTGAACCTTCTCCCAGGGGCACCAAAGGCTGCTGCCCCAGGGATGCGCTCTTTGCCTGGGTCATGCCAAGGAGGATCTGGCATCAGTCCGGCACCTCCTACCCCTCTAGGCCTAGGCTGTCTTCACCAACTTAGAGACCCACAAATCCCCCAGATGGAGTCTGACTTTCTCCTTTTAGGCATGAGGAGACCAGGGCTCTGGGGTAGGAATGACTTGCCCAGATCCCACAAGATAAGCCAGGACTCAGAACCCAGGTTTTCTCCTTCCTGGCTGGGGTTCTTTCCATGACATCATTTTGTCTTTTTTCTTTTCCCTCCATCTTTCTGGAAATGTATTTTCCAAAGTAAACGGGACTCTGAAGGCACTACGAGCCCTGAGTCCCTTTCAGAAGGCCCCACCCTCCTGAGCGTGAGACTCCCGGGGGCTGTTCCAGGATCTTGGCCCAACTGCCCAACGTTTGAGTCACCATAAGATCTACTAGCCGAACTATGCCATATTTCACTGGACGGTTTAGGAAACTTTGGAGAATATTTGCATCATTTTTGCTATGGTGCAAGTGTGTCGAGTTCAAAGATTTTTTTTTAAGACAAATGTGTTCTCAGATAAATTGTCCAAAATCCCTTAAGATGTTCGAAATGAGGCAAAAGAGAAAAAGGTACTGAACTACAAAAGCATTTATTTTATACAAAATGCTGCAAATGCGATCAATGGGTTTTGCTGAGAAAATACAAGTTTTAGGTGAATGTGATTTTGGGTGATTTGAAGAGTTCCCAGGGTAAATTAAGTTTGGACACGTTGTTGGGCAACAAATTGATCTAGACCCCGGGGTCTTTGCCTCATTTCCCCCAAGGGGAGGGGATGGGAGCCTTCAAGGATTGGCAGCATCATTTCAACCTCAGCGTTGCTGGGCCTGGGCCCTCTTCTCTTCTCTGTCCACGCTCCATCCCCGGGGGATGGCAGCAGCCCTTTGGCTTAAAGACTTTAAAGGTCTCCCAGGTCCCACTGTGCAGCCCTCACCTCTCCCCTAAACTCCAGGCTGACATATCCACCTGCCCCCTTGACCTCCACTTGGATAGCTAAGGGGCATCCCAAATTTACTCCGCTGGGTGCGAGCAAGTAGAACCCTAGATTCCCTCCGTCAACACACCTGCATGTCTCCAGGCCTTTCCCTCCTCAGTGAATGGTAGTGCCTTCCACGAGGTTGTTCGGACAGAAATCAAGGAGGCATCCTCTCCTCTGCTTCCCCCGCTGCCAGCTGCATCCAGTTGGTCAGCAAGTCCTGCCAGCCCTCCCCCGCCCCCGCCCCCGTCACACCCATACCCGCGCTGCTGCCTTTCTGCTTTGCTACCAGCCACCCTTGTCTCCCGCCTGGACACTGCCATCACCTCCGACCTGCTCTCCCTGTTCCACTCCTGCCCGACTCTGCGTCCTTCACACACGCGCCAGAGCGGCCCTCTAAAACCATGTCAGATCATGTCACTTAAACAAGTCCACTCCTTACCCTGGCTGGCCCTCCCGCCCTCCTCCTTCATCTTGACCCACGCTCCCACACACCCGCTCAGTGTAGACACACTTATGGGTGCTCACCCTTGCTGAGCCAGCCCAGGGCCCCTGCTGGCCACTCTGCCTGGAAAGCCATGCTTCCAAACCAAATAGTTGGCTCCTTCAGATCTCAGCTCAGATGTCGCCTCCGTAGGGTGGCCTTTGCTGCTTGCTCAACTTCAAATACCCTCTCACCACCACGCAGTCTCTCACGTCTCTGCGCAGCCTGTATCGCCAGCTAAAATTACCTTGTTTATCTCCTGGGTCCCTTGCGGAGTGTCCATTTCTTCCCTTCACCTCCCCTCGCTGCTCCCAGGATATGAACTCCTGGAGGGCAGGCACTTTATCTTGTTTACCCGGTGTCCCTATTTTATAGAACAGTCTAGAACACAGTAGCTGCTCGTAACTATTTACTGAGTGGATGACTGCCTGGCTGCAGGCCTCCCCAGGTGCCCTGAATGAGCACACCTCCTAACGCCCCAGCTCCTTTCTTCTGGTTCCCCCCTGCTTCCTTCCAAGCTCAGGCCTGGAGTTACGCCTGCTTCCGGCCCTTTGCACGAACAGAGGTAATTCTGCAGACCTCTCTGGTCCCCTGTTTGCTCTCCTGGAAAACGGGGATTTTCCACTTCTTTCTCGGAAGGTGGAGAGTAACGCACGTTGGGTGCTTCACGGAGCACCTGGACACAGCAGCCACGTGACGCAGGGGAGCGTTATCAGGCCGAGAGGAAGCAGTGGGGGTCACGGTGGCCCCGCCCTGTCCAGACCACCGCCGCCACCTGTCCTGCTGTCCTCTCCCGGGCTCCCTGGCACTTGCCGTGCCCCACCCACTCCCCGATTGGAAGGCCCGGCCAGCTCGGGGCCGTCTGACACTTTCCCCTTTGCAGACTGAGGCTCCTCTACTGATCCGGCCCTACCTGGCAGACATGACACTCTCAGAAATCCATGTTGTCATGACTGGAGGCTACGCCACCATCGCCGGCAGCCTACTGGGCGCCTACATCTCCTTTGGGGTACGTAGAGCCGTCCCTCTGCCTGCTGAAAACTGAGAACCTGACAGCTGCGTGTGTGGGAGCCCCACGCAGCTCCTGGCCAGAGCCACCTGGGGTCTCCTCTTGTGGGCTGTGTCCCAAACTGGGCTGCCGTGAGGGCGAGAGGAGAGGCCTCACCTGAGCCAGGTGAGCCAGGTGGGCTGGACAATCCCGGCTTCTCACATGGCCGGTGGTGGCAAAGGTTTCCAGGGTGCTACTTACTGGGCACTCGCTATGTACCAGGCAAAATACTAGGTATTTTAATATCCCCATTTTACAGATGAGGAAATTGAGGCTCAGAGAGGAAGTGAGATGCCCAAAGCCAGGCTGTGAGCCTAGATCTGTCTGTCTCCAAAACCTACCCACACAGTCCCTTACCTAGGCCATTCTGGAGAGTTGTCCTACTCTCTGCCCCACCCCCTTCCCTACACCCTCTCTGGGCACAAGTCCTTCCTCTGCTCCTAAATTATTGTTTGTGCAGCTTTCTGAGCACCATACATTTCTAGGTCAAACTCCAAGGAGTGCATTGGGCCTTAAACACAATGCTCCTGCATGGCAAGCAGAGATGAATCTTCACATGTGTCCCCTAAGAAATGCCTGGTGATAATGCTCGGCATTTGTAAAACACTCTGCACTTATTTGTGCTTCCACATGCAAGTCTTTAAAGATCTTAATTCTTTTCTTAACTATCAAGGAAATTCTTGCTCCTTGCAGAAGTTAATACAGCAAAAGTAAATAAATAAAACCTTCTTCAACCCCACTTCCCACGGGCAACTTCTGTTACTAGAATAGAAATGTGGTTCTCAAAGTGTGGTCCGTGGTCCGAGGACCAGCCGGCAGCAGGTTCACCTGGGAGCTTGTTAGAAATGCAAATTCTTGGTCCTCACCCCAGACCTGCTGAATCAGAAACACTGGGGATGGGGCCAGGATCTTGTAGTGTAACAAGCCTTCCAGATGATTCTGATCAGCTTGAGAACCACTGATTTAAAACATCATTCCAGATCTTTCTGTGTAAATAGTCATTTAAGTACACATACCTGAATGCACATACTTTCTTTTCTACTAAAGATGAGGTAGTTCTACCCATACTTCTCTGCAACTTGCCTTTTTCTTGTAAAATTCTGAGCTTGACGTGAAACCCAGAAGGGAGGTCGGCCCTGCTTATCCTCAAGTTTTCCTCCAAAATTCAATCCGTGATTGGTTGAATCCACACATGTGAAATCCATGGAAACGGGATACAGAGGGCCGAATGTATTCATTGTACTATGACATTTTATATAAGGTACTTGAGCATCTAGGGACCCCTGTGGATGCCGAGGGAGAACCGTATAAAGAAAAAGGTTGACAGAGTTGACTAAAAAAAGTGAAAAACTTCCGTATGGTGAAAGTCACAATTTTAAAGTTTAAATGATTGACCAGGAGAAAATAGTTGGTAAATTATAAAAAGATATTCAAGCTAACTGATAGTCAAAAAAATTAAAACAATAGGGGCCGGCCCCGTGGCCCAGTGGTTAAGTTTGCATGCTCTGCTTTGGCGGCCCGGGGTTTCACCAGTTCAGATCCCAGGAGCTGGCATGGCACCGCTCATCAAGCCATGCTGAGGCAGCGTCCCACACAGCACAACCAGAAGGACCTACAACTATGTACTGGGGGGTTTTGGGGAGAAGAATAAAAAAAAAATTGGCAACCGTTGTTAGCTCAGGTGCCAATCTTTAAAAAAAAATTACACCAATAAACATGTTTCTTCTGAAAGACAGCATTTTACGTGCTCTAAATGGCAAGACTGTGGGGCACTCACTCTTGATGGGAGTGGAATTTGCTGTAACCTTTTTGGAGAATATTTATCAATTTAAAAATATTCCTTCCCTTTGATCCAGTTAGGAACATTATGATACCAGAAATATTTTCACAAGTGGTCAAAAAATGCAAAATTAGGGGCCGGCCCAGTGGTGCAGCGGCTAAGTTCGCACATTCCGCTTTGGCAGCTTGGGGTTCGCCAGTTCAGATCCTGGGTGTGGACTTGCCCGCTGCTTATCAAGCCATGCTGTGGCAGGCTTCCCACATATAAAATAGAGGAAGATGGGTAGAGATGTTAGCTCCGGGCTAATCTTCCTCCAAAGAAAAAAAAAAAAGCAAAATTCTAACATTATTTGCAATAGCAAAAAAACCAAGGAACAACCCAAACGTTAAGCAGTGAGGGGCTGGGTTTGGTCAGTTCATCCATGCAGGGCGCTGTCACTCAGTCCATGTGCGATTTGGAGAGTGAGCAAGGGCCCGCCTCTCACTGCCCCCAGGCTCTCCTGATGCTGTGTATGTATGGGCAGGGGGACGAAGGAATGACCCTCACTCTCCCCTCCCTGGTCCCAAATTCCACCTGTCTTTCTCATCTCTGTCCTTGGGGGTGGCCAAAGGGGTAAGCCAACCTGTCCCTCAGTCCCTCCTTCCCTAGGACACCTGGCCACACCAGTAAGCTCAGCTCCACACACCCACAGGACTGCCGGGCCGAGGGGCTGCCTCTTCTAGAAGGCCGCTTGTGCTCGGGAGCTTTGTCTTCTGGCCTGGCACCCTCCCATCTAGAACTGTACAGACCATCTGGTTTGTACCTTGTCTCACCAAGGCCCAGGAAGGGCCCATCAGAGCTGGGGCACCCCCACCTACCCCCCCACCCACTGATTTGGGGAGGAATTTGAGATTTCGAAAATGGAGACTCGGATCTGTTCCTGAAACTTTTTTCACGGTGGCGTATTAGGGGAGAGGACGCCATAATATTTTCGGGACTTAGGGCCTTTCCCTGTCTTAACCTTGCTCTGGATCCCACAGCCAGTTAAATGAATGGTGTTCTTTCTACCACAGAAGCGTGGCTGCCTTATTTAACGCTAAAATACTGGAGGAACTCTCTCCCCTTTCCACAATCTGCCTCGCAGCTCAGCCTCCTTTCCTTCCCTTTCTCAGGTCAGAGTCCAGGCCCAGCCCCAGGTCATCGGGCCTCCCCACTGAAGGGGCCTGGGTACCCCCTTCCCTTTAGCCCCACAGAATGTGCCAAGGCCACCAGGATCACCATGTGGCCCTGGGTCTCCATTCATAGCCCCTGGAATGGAAGCCCCAGCTACCCCACATCTGGCCCAGGGGAAAAGCACCTGACAGGCCTGCCTTCCCTTCTTGCTTCTGGCAGCATCTGGATGGGCATGAGTCTGGGATGAGAGAAGCTCTCTTCTGCCCCCACATGGCTCTTGGCCGCCACTGCAGCCGCCCGAGGGCTTTCTCCCACAGCCCTGCCTCCCTACTCTCTCCCCTTCTCCTGTTACTCCTTTCTCCAGGCAGTTCCTCACTGTATTTTTGGCTCTGCCCTCAGCCCCTGAATTCCAGAAAGATCTTTCTTGCTCTCTCCTCCTTTCTCTTTGTTACTCAACTTCTGGCTCTCTTTGCCCTGCCCCCACCCTCACCCCGACTGCTAATATCTGGATATTTCTACACCTGCGCTGACACGGTAGCCACTCGCCACACGTGGCTATTGAGCACTTGAAATGCGGCTGGTCTGAAATGAGATGTGCTGTGAGACTTAGGGAAAAAAACGTTAGTAAATTTTATCAGTAAGTTTTATATTGATTAATGGGTGGAAAGATAATATTTTGGATATATTGGGTTAAATAAAATACACTATTGAAATTAATTTCACCTGTTTCTTTAGAAAATGTAAAATCACAGATGTGGTTCCTGTTCTATTTGTATTGGACAACACTGGTCTAGACCGTCTCTCCTGGTCTGGGGTCCCAGGGGTCTCGACTGAATCCTTTCATTGTGGTTTCCAGGTACATCTCCCTTTTCATCATGTTTCTCAAAACCTTTAAAGCAGGCAGCAGCTCTCTCTGCTAACGCCAGAAACTGGTCTCTCCCCCCACCCCTTAGGCTCAGGGGCCACCATGAGAGGAGATCCATTTGTGTGCCTCTAGCTGTGAACACAGGCTGGGCAGGGTGGTGTTGAGGGGCTCAGCCACTGATGTTCCTCAATCAGTTGTGCAAGACTGGGAGCCCCTGGGACAGAGTCTGTGAGGTCCTGAGCAGGGCCAAGTGCAAGTCTACCACTTAGTTTCCACATCTGTAAAATGGGCAGAATTGCTGCGCCACCCCCCCCCAGCCTTTTAAGAAGTAAATGCAATAATAGAGAGAAAACACTAGCATTGCGTTCGAGAAGTGGTAATTGTTTCTCCAACATCCATCCTTCTGAAGCTGGCCCAATTTATGCTTGATAGTTGCCTGGATTTCTGGATTTGTTTCCGTTCTCAGTAAAGGTCTTTTTGAAAATTCAGATGGAGGGCTCATACCGTCCATCCGTCTCCACATGGGACACCTTTGTGCAGAGAGAGGAGGGCCTTGGGTAGGAGCGGGCCTTGGGATGCTGAGACAGAGGGCATTCCTGACCGTGCCTGGAGGAGGGCTGGGGGATGCCAGGGCCCTGAGGAGTAGCCAGCAGTGGGAAGGCCATGTGTGGGCCGATCTAGTGCCCCAGGGAGCCCTGCCTGTGCAGGACTCAGCTCTTTGCAGGATGAGCACGAAATGATGGGCTGGGGCCTTTGAGGCTGTAGCCACGGCTGGCCCACTCAGAGGGCAGTGTCCTGGAATGCAACAACTGCAGGGTGTGTTCCCCTCTGGGGCTCAAGTTGACAAACCAGATGGAACCTCCAAGCTGGAGGAAGAGGGAGGGCCCTGGCTGGTGGAGAGAAAACCCCAAGATTCCAGAGGTGGCACAGTCCCCACTGGAGCTGGGCAGCCAAGGAGGAGGCGAGCAAAGTCCCGAAGCCCCACCCGGAGAGTCTGGAGAGGACTCCTGCCCGGGGCTGGCTCCTTCCCACAAGGGGCGGGGCCTGCACACCCCGTGCCTGGGACGGGGGCGCAGGAGGTGGGTGCTGGTGCTGGCTCATGTTTTAAGGGGTTTCTGCTTATCACTGTAAAGAAACATGGGGTCTCGCCCCGTGACCAAGTGGTTAAGTTCCTGTGCTCCACTTTGGCGGCCCAGGGTTTCACTGGTTCGGATCCCGGGTGTGGACACGGCACCGCTCATCAGGCCACATTGAGGCAGCATCCCACATGCCACAACTAAAATATACAACTATGTACTGGGGGGATTTGGGGAGAAAAAGTAGAAAAAAAAAGATTGGCAACAGTTGTTAGCTCAGGTGCCAATCTTTAAAAAAAAAAAAAGAAAAGAAAAGAAACAAATGGGGTTTAAAAGAAGAAGGACATTCCATGGGTTTCAGAGCCTTGGAGGGTCTCCCAGGCCTGGGTCCTCAGCAGCAGCTCCTGGTACTTTCATGAACTTGTTCAGCCCTCTGCTTTCATTAGTCTGAACAGGTAACTTAAAATTACCTCCCCTCCTTTTTTTCCTTTTTACTTAAACTTTAAGAACTGCAGTTGGTTTACTACAAACTTTAAGGAGAAGTCTGTTTTACTTTTCTGCTTAGAAAAGCAATATATGTCATTGTGGGCATTTAGAAACATACAAAAAAGCAGAAAGAAAAGAAAATCACCCTGGCCCCACTAGCCAGCGACAGACCGTCGGGTTGACATGTGGGTGTGTTTCTTTCTGATCTTCTTTTATACATAGTTTTGGAGTTTGTTTTTTCCCCGTCGTTGTGGTTACGCTCTATATGCAATTTTGTGGGCATTTCCCCACGTTATTGTGAGTCCCTGGTAACCATTGTTTTCAATGGCAGCTTGACAAGGCTTGGCCAATTCCCCATCGTTGGATGTTTGGTTCTAATTCTCCCATTTGGTAAATAACAGTGGTGAAAAAGGGTCCCATCTATCTCTGGAAGAACACAGGGAAGCAAAGGGCTTGGGGCCACAGTGAGGATAAAAATCCAAGAAGCGAGACTCCCAGGGTCTCGGCTTGCTCTGCTGTCTGGCTGGGAAGTGCTTCCACAGCATGGCTCCAGGAGACAGGCGCAGGGCGAAAGAGCGGCTGTTGTAGGAGGCAGATTTCCTGATAAAGAGCTCTCAGACCACGGGAGGGGGTGTGAGGGGCTGCTTTGAAGTGGTGAGCTCCCTGTCACAATAAGTCTTCAAGGAGGGATCCTACAGAGGACATTCCTACACTGTGAGGTTGAATTAGGTCACCTCTTGGATCCATCCCAACTCTTGGGTTCTGTGAGCTTTGTCTGAAACCATCGCAAAGCCCTCAGCCGATGGTGAACCAGCCCTCAGCTTAGTGGTCAAAGGGAGGCAGCCTAGAAGGGAAGGAAGAACCTTGAACTTGGAGCCAAAAGACAGGATGAGTTCTAATCCCTTCTCTCCCTTTATTTTGGGCAAGTCCTATTTAATCCTTTGCGGCCTCAGTTTCCCCATCCGTCAAATGGGATAACACTGCTTTCTCTGCCTAACTTACAGAAGTATGAGGGGAAAACCTGAGGTTCTGTACATACGGCCTGTGACTCTCTATGCATCAAAGGTATTGTTACTACCAATAGCGATGACAGCAGTACTGATGATGATGACACACCAGTGGGCAGAATGCATGTGGCCCCTGCCGCCCCGGGCTGCACTCCCTGGCCCCGACGTGTCCTCTGACCATCTCCCCATAACCCCCACTCTCGCTCTTGCAGATTGACGCTGCCTCCTTGATTGCCGCCTCCGTGATGGCCGCCCCTTGTGCTTTAGCCCTGTCCAAGCTGGTCTACCCCGAGGTGGAGGAGTCCAAGTTTAGGAGTGAGGAAGGCGTGAAACTGACCTATGGGTGAGCACAGAGGAGGGCCTGCAGGGGGGCAGGGGTAGGGGCGGCCCCGGTCCTATTATCTCTGCCCGTCACTGTCTTCCACCAAGCCCAGGCCCACCTCTCCTTGTTCACTGCCCTGGTTGTGCCTCCTCTTGCAAAAACGCAGATTCCAGTCCTTGTGTCTTAATTTCCCGTCTCCAGCCAGCAGGAAACACTGGACCAGTCAAGGCGTGGGAGAGTGGCCTACTTCCTGGGGCTGGGGCCTGGTGTGTGGGTACTGAGGAGGGTCATGCAAAGGCTCTGTGCCACCTTCTCTACATGCCTCGAGCTCTGACCACCAGCATGTCAATCACGTATCAGGCACCGTCCTTGATTTCACTCACCTCCTGACATCTCTTCCTCGCAGTCTTAACAACCGTTGTGTAACATTTAATCCTTTAAAAATGTTGGAGAGGCAGCACTTTTGACAAACGTGCTTGGGGACACAATGAGCGGCCCCAACCTCACGCCTTCTGAAGGTCTAGAACAGCACTGCTCTGTAGAAATAGAACGGGAGCCAAATCTGTCATTTTTAATTTTCTAGTAGCCATCTTTAAAAAGTAAAAAGAAACAGGCAGTTTGAATAGAGTATTTACCCAATATATCCAAACCATGGTCATTTCAACATGTCATCAATATAAAAAATTCTTAATGAGCTATTTCACATTCTTTTTTTTTTTTGTACTAAGTCTTTGAAATCTGGTGTGTTTTCTACTTACGACATATCTCAATTCTGGTCAGTCTCCTTTCAAGCACTCAGAAGCCACGTGTGGCTAATGGCTCCCGTGTTGGACAGCGCAGGAAATCTGGGTTTCATTCTAGCACTGGACGGTCCCTTTCTCTCTCTGGGTCTCAGAGGGACAACAAGGACCCTCAGCTCTGAAATACTTTGTCCAAGGTTCCTCTCTGAGCCTAGAGGAAGAGATCCCCTGCTGTTTGTGGGGACAGGCCAATAAAAAAGGCTCTTGGTTCCCCAAACAGAGAAGCTCAGAACCTCTTAGAAGCAGCCAGCAGTGGGGCCGCCATCTCGGTGAGGGTCATCGCTAACATCGCAGCCAACCTGATCGCCTTCCTGGCCGTGCTGGCCTTCATCAACGCCGCCCTCTCCTGGCTGGGAGACATGGTGGACGTCCAGGGGCTCAGCTTCCAGGTACAGTCAGGCCGCCCTGCTTGGCCTGTGGAGGGGGCAGTCCCCACAGTGGGCGGTGGTGGGTGGACACCCAGCAGAGCCCCGGCCAGCTCTGGTCCCAGCAGCTCCTCTTGGCTTGTGTCTCAGCTCATCTGCTCCTACATCCTGCGGCCTGTGGCCTTCTTAATGGGCGTGGCCTGGGAGGACTGCCCAGTGGTGGCTGAGCTGCTGGGAATCAAGCTGTTCCTGAACGAGTTTGTGGCCTATCAGGAGCTGTCCCGGTACAAGCAGCGCCGCCTGGCAGGGGCTGAAGAGTGGGTCGGCGCCAAGAAGCAGTGGATCTCCGTGAGTGTCCCGGTCCCCTCCCTGTGGCCGGGGAGTGACACAGTGCTCCTGAGGCCCCCTGGCAGCTGCTCCCCTGGCTCCCTGGGCCTGGCTGAGACACACTGAGGTGGCACTCAGCCTCCCACACCCTACTGCCCTGGGAACAAGACGGCTCCAGGCTTCACCGCCACCCTCCTTGAGGCCTCTGAGGAGGCTGTGTTGGGGCAAGGAGCCTGGTTGGAGCTATCTGAGGTCTAGCTGTAGATGGGCCACCATCCTGCGTGGCCTTGGGCTGGCCGCTGCACACTGCCTGTCCTGTAGGAAGCCCGGTGTGACACCTGCCATGTCCACCCCAGAGGAACAGATGCGAGCGTCCAGTGAGCCCGGAGGGGGAAATAGGGAGCCCGCCCTACATCTGTTATCAGTAGACTGGATTCAGTTCAGCTCAGAGGTCGGCTCTTTCTGTTAAAATTTATTTTAAAAAAACCATAAAAGCTCTATAAAATGAACCTTTCTAAAAGAAGAAAAGCTCTATGTAATGTCACTGAGAAAGAAAAAATTACCCATCATCTCACTGGCCTAAAATAACAGCTATTGTTGTCTCATACATTTTCCTCTGTTCTTTTTAAAGAGTTTATATAGTTGTCATCATAGTATCGTTCTGTATTGTAGCTGGCTTTTTTCCCTCCTCCTGTTATGACATATGTATCATTTTTGATATATGGATCCTATATGGATAATGGATAATTCAGGTAAATTCTATATGGATAATGGATAATTCAGGTAAATTCTATTCTTGGCTGTTACACACAACGCTGAAATGACTAGCTTTGTGCACAGAGCTTTTCCCTCCTCTCGAGCGTTTCCCCAGGAGCTGTCCCTGATGTGGGATGACTGAATCACGTGGCCTGAGTCCTTGTGTGCTGGCTGCCAGCAACTTTCCCAAAGGGTTGCAGCAGCTGAAATTGCCCCCGCCGTGCCCATGAGCGCTGATGTCACCACACACTGACCGGCACGGAGTAGCCTCTTCAGAAAGTTTTGCTAGTTTAATGGGCAAATAATAGCTCATTGTTTTAATTTGCACTTCTTGGGTTCTTAGGAACTTTTAACGTGAAATATTTTTTTATGTCTTTTAAATCATTTTTTAAATTGTAAAGGAAGGTACTCTTTAGTTTTTTTAAAAAGTTTGAATGGGGGGCTGGCCCGGTGGCGTAGTGGTTGAGCTTGGCATGCTCCACTTCGCTGGCCCATGTTTCACAGGTTCAGATCTGGGCGTGAACCTACACTGCTCATCAAGCCGTGCTGTGGCAGCATCCCACATACAAAGTAGAGGAAGATTGGCACAGCTCTCAGCTCAAGGCTAATCTTCCTCACCAAAAAAAAAGAAAAAAAAAAGTTTGTATGGGATCAAAGTCCAGGTCTCCCCTTGCTCCTCACCCTCAGCTCCGGGCTCACTGTCTCCTCTAGAGATAGTGGATGGTGTGCTCCTCTGGGATCTTTTTTTACGAACTTCATTCCTTCAGCAAGTATTTGTTGAGACCTCTGAGGGGCCAGGCACTCTGCTAGGTCCCAGGGATGAAAAAGGGGAATTAGACAGACGTGACCCCTGGGGTCATGGAGCTTGCATGTACCTAGTGAAAGACACAGGCAAAACCCAAGAAAGCAAAGGAATAAAACATAAAATAACCACAATTTGTGGTAAGTTCTCTGAAGGAAACAGTAAGAGGAAACAGGGAGGGGATCTTCCTTGGCTGGGCTGGTCAGAAAAGGCCTCCATGAGGTGTGGCATTTAGGCCCAATTTGGAGGGAGGAGAAGGGCGAGGAGAAGCTGGGAAAAGCATCCCAGGTAAAGAAAGAGGCATGTGCAAAGGCCCTGAGGTTGAAAAGCACTTGTCTGGAGAACATGGTTGAGCAGGTGATAATCATAAAAGAGAGCAAAACAGGCCTAAGAGCAGTAGGAAGTTCCGGAAGAGTTGATGTCTGACATTCTAAGATTACTCAAGCTGCCGTATGGATGGGGATTGTCAGTGAGCAGGCAGGATGCAGGTGCCTTAGTATTTTCTCCATCAGTTTTTACAAACTCTTTATGCTTTAAGACATTCACCTTTTTCAGTTATATTTTCTACATATATTTTTCCTAGTCTTTTTCCCCCCCTTCATTTTGTATTCAGGGATTTTTCTTTTAACACAAATTTTACCCCAAATCTTTTCCTTTGTGATTTCTTCTATTATTTCTAAACTTAGAAAGTTATCTCCACTCCAGAAATCTGGTGTTAAATTCCTGCAACAATATGGTTAAGTAGTTAAAGGCGTGAGCTCTGGGGTCAGACAGAACCAAGTTCAAATTCTGACACAGCTGCCTTCTTCTTCTAACTTCCTCAGTTACTTAACCTCTCTGAACTTCAGTTTGCTCCTCTCCAAAATGAGAGTAATAATGTTACCTGTAACTATAATCATTATTATCCTGTATTTTCCATTATTTGATGTTTAAAAATATTAATATTTATCTGCTTCAATGGTCTAGAATTAATTTTGTATATGGCGTGAGGGGTTTTTTTCCCAAGTGTTCCCCTCTTTGCGCTTTCTTCTGAGAAATTAACTGGCCGTTCAGAGCGAGGGGGAAGGGGGATTGCTTTGCCTGATGCCTCCCCTGGGCCTGAGCCTTCCTGGACATTAGATGGTCCTTGGGGCAGCTCCTGCGATTCCCACATTCTGGATGGAGAAACTGAGGCTCCAAGAGGCTGCTGACTTGCTTGACCTGATCGTAGGCGGGGGCAAGCCCAGAACCCAAGTCAGTCGGGCTCTGAGTCCCCTGCTGTCCTCACTAGGCCGCACTGCCTCCTCTCGCGGCATGACGGGCATCCTCGGGAGCCAGCAGGGCAGCACTGCAGAGCGCGGGGCAGGGACAGCACGCAGGCGCCCCTGGGTACCGAGCTTGGTAGGGCTGAAGCGGGGCACAGGACGAGCCAGAATCAGACCAGAAAGGCTGGCAATTAAGATGAAGGGACGGGAGGGCAGATGGTGGGGGAAGCGATGCAGCTTGGGCTGACTTGGGATGCAAGGGTGGGGAAGGGCAGCCCTGAGCGCGTCAAAGGTCAGAGACGCGTAGGACATGGGTGAAATGAGGGCCAGGGACCCAGGGTGCTGGGGGTGCTGCCATCCCGGCAGAGCACAGCCCCTCCTCACTCGTCTTCCATATTTTCAGGTCAGAGCGGAAATCCTCACAACGTTCGCCCTCTGCGGATTTGCCAACTTCAGCTCCATTGGGATCATGCTGGGAGGCCTGAGTGAGTCTGTGGGGGCCTCCCCAGCAGCCTGGAGAGGCGGGGACCTCCCTCTGAAACAACCTCCTGGGGATCTGTAGGCCTCAGGTGTCCCGTTCGTCTAGGGCAGGGCCTGAAAAAGATGGCTGGGGAGGTTCCTCCCAGCCCCAGAATGCCATAATTTCTCTGCTGCTGGGGGCCCAGGAGGGTGGCACCTTGGCCTTGCAGGCCAAACCTGGCTCAGGGGTCTAGGGAGAGACAGGAGGTGTGGTGCTGGCCCATCCCTTGGGGCTTTGTCCTGCCAGTTCCCACACCCACAGTGGACAGCAGGCCTGGTGGGGCCTAGGAAGGAGGGCTCTGCGCAGCTCTCAGCTCTTTACAGAAACATTTCCACTCTTTGCAGTCCCCCGCCTGGTGGTGTAACCATCCCATTTTACAGAGTAGGGAACTGAGTCTTGGAGAAGTGAAGTGATGGCCCAAGTCACTCGGCTAGTAAGTGGCTGAGCCTGTATCTAATCGCAGGTCCACTTGACTCCAAACTCACGTTCTTTGCCTCATCTGCCGCTGATGGTGTGGGGGGAGGGATGGGGTGCTGCTACGGGCCAATTCCAGCCAAGGAGGGCTCCCAAACTCAGCAGGTGATCAGGAGGACGGCATCCATCCCTCTGGCCACCCAGAGGAGGAAGGGGAGGCTCCAGAGGCCCAGGCAGAGGGGCACGCAGCTTCCTGGCCCTGAGCACTCCTGTCCTCTTGCAGCCTCCATGGTCCCCCAAAGGAAGAGCGACTTCTCCCAGATCGTGCTCCGGGCGCTCTGCACGGGCGCCTGCGTGTCCCTAGTGAATGCCTGCGTGGCAGGTGAGTGCAGGGCTGGCGGGCTCACACTGGCGGCCCTGATTCTCCCACTGGCCTTGGTCCAGGGCCAGGGGCGGGGCTCTGGGCTCTCTGGGAGTCCTTGGGCTGGGGCCTGGCCCTGCCCACCAGCCACTTTCCCTGCACAGGGATCCTCTACGTGCCCAGGGGGGCTGAGGTCAACTGCACGGCCCTCCTGAACACGATCCTCAGCAGCAGCAGCTTTGAGGTGTACCAGTGCTGCCGTGAGGCCTTCCAGAGGTGAGGGCCTGGGCCGGGGGCTATGGGACGCTGACAGGGATGGGATACGGAAAGCCCGAGTGCCTGGGGGATGCCTTGACACCAGAGCACATGGTATAGATGTTATGGCTGTGGCTGATGGGGCAGGGGAGGAGGAAGTGGGGCTTGAGGACCCAACTTGGGGAGGAAGGATGGACCAGAGACATGGAGCAACTTTCCCAGGGTTGCACAGCCTTTAGTGGCTAGCAAGCCAGGGCTGGAGCTCAGCCTTTTGCTTCTTTGCAGCACCAGCCCGGAGTTCAGCCCCGAGGCCTTGGACAACTGCTGTCGATTTTACAACCACACGACGTGTGCATAACGCAGACAGAACCAGAACTCTGTGCCTCCCCAGGAAGCAGCCGTCCCGCCTTTCCCTCTCCAGGCCTCTCCTCCCAGAAGCCACAGGGCTCCAACCTACCTCAGCCGCACAACTGGGGAGGGGGGATGGGAGGGATGGGCAAAGACTGAGCAGATGTGTGAGTAGATGAAGGCTGCCCCCCACCCCTCGCCCCTTCTGCTCCCCCATGTCCTACCTCCCACAGTGTGGATTCTCAGTGTCACCTCTGTCCCCTCCTCTCTCCCCTCCACATCCAGACAGTACCCTGGTCTTCTCTATGACCGGCCTTGGGTCTCATTTGCACCCTTCCCTTCACCCCAGCATTTCAGTTGCCTCCTTCTGGGTGGGCGCTCGAGTCCCCCATGGTCACCCTGCCAGACAGGTGTTTTCTCCCAGCGGCCCCTCCTCCTACATTCAGAGACTCCCCCACTGCCTTCCCCACAGCTCTTCCCAAATCAGTGTCCAGTGGAACGCTGTCCCACAGGAGTTCAGCAAGGCGAGACAGAAATTTATTTTCTCGCAGTTCTGGAGGCTGGAAATCCAAGATCGGGGCGCCAGCATGGTCAGTTTCTGGTGACAACTCTCTTCCTGGCTTTCAGATGGCCACTTCACCGTGTCCTCCCTCACAAGGCAGAGAGAGAGAGCAAGTGGTCTGGTGTTTCTTCTTGTAAGGGCATTAGTCCCATCGTGGAGGCACCACCCTCACGACCTCATCGCACCCTGCTCACCGCCCAAAGGCCCGTCTCCCGGTGCTCTCGCACTGGGGGTCAGCGCCTGTGCTCTTCAGGGAGAGGTCACACCGTGAGCTCAGCGGGGTGAGGCTCGGATGGCGGCCCCGTGGGGGGCCAGGCCTTACTCTCCTGTCCAGGGAGCAAGGGGCGCATGCAGGTGTGGGTGAGGAGGGGAAGGGGGCAGCCAGGAGGGCCAGAGCCTGCGCATACACACAGTGTGCTCCACCCTCTGCTTCTCCTGCCCTCTGTGCCAAAGGCCTTTTTTCCCCCCAATTTGATCTGCACTAATACCTGCATAAAAGACAATAAAAATGAATTACTGGGACAACAATAATAATAAAAACGGCATGTGACATACAAGCCCTAATTCTTTATTGTTAGATTCAACAACCTTAAAATTACTCTGTCACATTACTATGACATTTCTGAATGTCCCTTTCAACTTCTGTACTCACATTCTTACAGACCGATAAATGGCCGCGGAGCCCACCAGTCCGTGCTTTGAATAGCTTCGCCCTACCGCATTTTCTGTTAATGGAAATTCGTCACAGAATGTCTACTCAGAGGATTTGTCCTGCATTTCAAATGCTCTAAGGGGAGCTGGAAAAAGCAGTAGGAATTCTTGAAACCTTGCCTTTCGTGTGAGTGCAAAATTGCACGGACAACAGCAGAATTCCAAATAATTTATGCAAACACTCCGTCCTCAAGGGGTGGAACATGTCTCCCCCCGTTAGGTGTGGGCTGTGCTGTGTGGCCGCTTCCACAGAGCACAGTATGCAGACGGGGGAGGTAAGAGGGTCCCTTTGCAGCAGGGAAACCTGGTACACAGAGGGAAACAAGTGACCATGTTAACGCCGTCACTGAGACGTCCAGTCGATGACACAGGCCCTCGATGTGTTGTGTTGAGAAGGGCGCTTCCTCTCTGTGGTTTTGTTCCCCCGAAACCCATAACCCCAGTCTAACCGTGAGCAAAAAAAGCATCAGCCAAACTCGCAAATTGAGAGACAGTCTGCGAAATACCTGACCAGAACTCTTCAACACTGTCCGGGTCGTCAGAAGCAAAGAAAGTCAGAGAAACTGTCCCAGCCCCACGGAGCCTAAGGGGACATGAGGACTAAACGTGACATGATGTTGTAATGGGTTGAACTGTGTCCCCCAAAAGATACTTCTGAGTCCTAAGCCCCGATGCCTGTGGATACGACCTTATTTGGAAATAGGGTCTCACAGCTGTAATGAAGTCTCTCAAGATGGGATTATCCCGGATTTAGCGTGGGCTCCAAGTCCAGTTACTGGTGTCTTTATAAGAGAAAGGAGAGGGAGATTTGAGACACACGGGCACAGCGACGCACAATGAAGGCCGAGAAATGATGGAGGCAGAGACTGGAGTGACCAGCTCCAGGACGTAGCCCCCGATGGTGACAAGCGAGGCAGCACGTGGAGCCACCAGGAGTGGGAGAGGCATGGAAGGGGCCTCCTTAGAGCCTTTTGGGGGAGCGTGCCCTGCTGGTTTCAGACTAGGGCCTCCGGAACTGTGCGAGAATGAATTTCTGTTGTTTTTAGCCACCGAATCTGTGGTAATTTGTTCCTGCAGCCCCAAGAAACCAGTACCAGTATCTTGGATGAGATCCTGGAACAGAAAAATGACATAGGGAAAACCAAATGAGGTCCAAATAAAGTATGGAGTTTAGTTAATAACGTGTTAACATCGGTTCATTAGTTTCGAGAATGTACCGTAGTGGTGTAAGATGTTAACGATAGAGGAAACTGGGTGAGGGGTATATGGGAACTCTGCATTATTTGTGCAGTCTATTTGTAAATACAAAACTATTTTCAAATTTAAAAGTTTATTTAAAAAACTGCATGGAAAAAAACCTGCGTTGACCCACATGCAGTGTAACGTGATTCAGCCCCTGGGGGGCTCTATCCCGGATGTGCGTGTCTCAGTGGGCAGCCCACCAATGGGCTGCGTTTCCTCCCTTCCCACCCACTGCCTTTTCTCATGGCCCTGCTCTCCCCTCTGCCAGCCCCTCACTTTGATTCAAGCATGTGCCTTCAGCTGAATGTGAATTAGTCCTGCCCTCTTTAAACCACATGAAGAGCAGCATCTGCTTGAAATTACTTTTGACTCAGAATTAGTGAGCCCTGAGTTTGGACAGGACCCTAAATGTCATTTTAATGGTGTCTGCCCCTCCCGACTTTTCTGAGAAGTTTTACACCCCCGCATGGAGGGGCTCTGACCCCAGGCTTTCACGATTGAATCACGGGACTCCACCCCCCGCCCCTCGCCCATTGAACTAGGACTGAATGCCTGACTCAGGGGAAGCCAAGTCCACAGTCTTGCCAATGGCCTTTCAGACCCTCGAGAAAGGATTTGAACTAAAAAACCCAGAAACGGAGAGCTGGGAGCTGAGTCACCACCGGGGGCTGGCTTGGAGCTGGTCTCTTTACCACCCTTCCTGCAGCCCAGTTGCTCAACTTTTCCTCAGATTTGATGACAGCTGAATTCTTTCGAAAAATCCCCTCTAACCTGAGCTCAGGGGAGAGATTCCTCTTCCTTTGTAGTCGAAAGGATACTGCCTGGGATAGCCACTTCATTAAATCCCCCATTCGGCCTGGAATCAAGTGTCCATCCACCATTTGCTTGAATACCATCAAAACAAGAGTCTCACTCCCTCTTCTTGCAACTTCCTAAGAAGGTTCTTTTTGATTTTGCATCAGAAAGTGTTCCCCTGTCATCCCAGCGTTGCCATTCTGGGCTATTCAGAACAAGTCCCAGCTGGTGTGTGTATTTTTATTGTTCTTTTTAAACTTACCAAAGTAATGCTTGCTCATTATTTTTAAGAAGTCAAACCTTGAGCCAGCCCTGATGGCCTAGTGGTGAAAGTTGGGTGCTCTCACAGCTTCAGTGGTCCCCAGTTCTTACTTCCTGGTCAAGGAACCACACCACCCATCTGTCAGTTGCCATGCTGTGGGGGTGGCTCACGTAGAAGAAACAGAAGGACTTAGAACTAGGGTATACAACCATGCACTGGGGCTTTGGGGAGGAAAAAAAAAGAGGAAGATTGGCAACAGATGTTAGCTCTAGGTGAATCTTTCACTGCCCAAAAAAAGTCAAATCTTATGGAAACTTGTAGAAGTGTTCTAATCCCTTTTCTTCATGGCAGTCCTTCAACTCCTTGAAGATGGTGACCATCCAGGCTTCCCTTCTCTGAGCTGAGAACTCTTACTCCTTTCAGTTGTCTCTCCCATAGCACGTAATAGTTTCAGAATTTGCCCTAGACCTGATTCTTAGTTGTTCTGCACTCATGAGCAGACAGTGCCTGAGTCATCGGCAAATCCAAGACTGAAGCCAGAACATGGGGTGGTCAATATGATCTCATGGGTGTAACCGAGATGCTGTGGTGAGACTGAAGATTGGACACGGCCTCGGGAGGTATTTAAAAGAGGCAGACCTGTTAGGAAGGAAGAGTGTTAAAAAGCTCCACGCCGCTTCAGAAGTCCTCAGATCTGAGGGCTTGCACGTGGAGGGTGAAATGCGAGGAGGAGTTGTCCTTGACGGAGAGAATGGGAGAAAGTCATGGCCCAGATCACAAAGGAGACCAGAGGTAGGGTATGGCAGGAATTGGGAGGTGGGACCTTATCTATTGGGACATCTGCTAGGACTCTACTTACCCACCATCAAGGGTGCAAGAAGTTCCTACCTTGCCTGGGAGATGCTTTCTGTTCCCAGAGATGGAGGAGAATTGCTGCTTTGGACCAAGTTCTGACAAGGATGTGGAATGGTGAAGCGGGAGTAACCATGCCAACAGAGACTTTGTGACTGGAAGTGATGGGGAGGCCAACACAGCCAAGCACTTATTCCACATGTGAAGATAAAGGCATTCAGGAAGGAGACTCTGAGAGCAAAGTCAGCTCTTGAATGGGACTCTGGTTCAGTTGTGGCAAAATATCCCAATGAGGAAAGGGAGGTAGAGGTGACGAAAGAAATCAACAAGGTTATAAATGAATATAAGAACTTGGTTTATAAGCTCAGAATTTTAAAATAACAGGAACTAAAATCTGACCGAAGGACACATGGCCCAGCATAGGAAAGATGACTGGTTGTCCTCCAATAGTCGTTCTCCCCTTTTTGTTTTAGTAATAACTAATATCTAGCTGGGCAAATGGCAACCTAGCATAAAGACTACATTTCCCAACCTTCCTTGCAGCTGGGTGTGGTCATGTGACTAAGGTCTACTCAATGGAGTAATGGAAGTCAAGTAGGCAGCCTCTGGATCATGCCCTTAGTGAAGGGGTTGGCAAACTTTTGCTTAAAGGGCCTGGTAGTAAATATTTTAGGTTTTGTGGGCCATTTCTGTTGCAACTACTCAATTTAGACAATACTTAAGCAAATGAGAGTGGTTATGTTCCAATAAAACTTTGTTTACAAAGACAGGTGGCCAGCCCACAGACTGTAGTTTGCTGACCCCTGCCTTAGATGAAGGGGCTCGTCCTCCATGACCCTGGTCCATTTCACAGTTTTGCTCCATGCCAGTTGGAATACAGGTGGGAAGGTGAGCCAATTTAGACCATGGAGACAAAGGCAACATCCTCAAGATGGGGCCACCACAAGTTCAAAGGATCCTGGGCCTCTGATGCCTTTGTAGAGCAAGGCTGCCACCACAACACAGATTTTATGTGAGAGAGGAATAATGTCTATCTTGTTTATGTTATTATTTGAGATCTCTGTTATACACGCCCTTGCAATGGACAAGAAGAGCAAGATGGGCAATAGGAAAGAACAGGTTTGCCTCTTCTCTGTGGGGCTCTGGATGAACAAATGGGAAAGAGGATATTATTAACCAGGTGCCCATCACCTCTGGCCTCCCTGGTTCTCTGGTGCATTCTACTGGAGCCCTGAGTAGGACCACTGCTTCCAACAAGTCTGCATCGGAAATCTACCACCCACTGGCCACTAAGACCTAACAGAGGAAAGAGAGAGCCCTGATACATGTGTGAGGGGAAGTGGCCAGACTGAAAAGTTTCCCAATTTAGCTTCATGACAGGAGGATACCAGAGAGAGAAAGAAAGAAAGGGCAAGGTAGGCACACACCATCTTTGCACCTCAGGCTCCCGGAAGCAGGAAATGGAAAAGAGGCTGATGTGCCGTGCGTGACCTGTTAAGGCAGGGTGACCTGGCCCACTAGGAAATGCAGTCTGGGCCATAAGGTGGACTCTAACCAATCAGACTAGTGTTCCCTCCTCTTGGAGAACAGCAAGATGGAACTGGAAGAAGGACATTCCTCCTGCTCTCCGACCAGCTCCCCTCCTACCCACCAAGCATTGCAAACTATGTCCAGAACCAGAAAGAATCAGGAAGAGATAAGCCCACAAGGACCGTTGGGAACAGATTTCAAATCTTCATATAGATTATGTTGCTATCGGACTTCTCTCTGTACAGACACCTTTCGTATCTTTTCGAGATGGGACTCCTTACTTCTCATCCACCAGCAAGGCAGGCGATGACCAACAGGTCAAGGCTGCTCATGATACCAAGCAATGGGCTCTCTCTGCTCTCCGTGATCTGAGCCAATCAATCACGAGTTAGAAATCCAGAGAGGAAGTTTAATTAGATTAGCTAGTTTATCAGAAGACAGGTGACTAACGTCTCAAAAATGCATCTTCAAGGATTACAGAATCTTGAGGCAGTTATACAGGGAAAATAGGCAGTGAGGAGGAGTCCGGGGATGTTGGGTTCCAGGCGTCACATCGTTCCATTCTTCTGTCAGCTGTGATGGATACCTTGTAGGTGTGTTTCCCGCCTGTGGCCAGCCTGTTCCTGGAAAGAAACTCATAGAACAAAGTTTTAATTTATCAAGCTATCGGGGAGCACTTACATAAGCGGAGGCCATAAATCAGGAGAGCATGGGAATGTTTATTTCGTGTATGTGCAGAGCAGTGAGTAGTCACACAGAGGAGGGGCTAGGGTCATTTAGCAAAACAAGATGGCCTCACTTTTGCTCTCTTACGCTCACTGGGCTGGCACGTGCACGGAGTGCCACAAACGCTCCTAAATGTCGGTCAACGCCTTGCATCCCGTGGCTATGTGTGTTTATACCGCTGTGAGTGAGCCTCGTAAGGTTGGAGAAGTGGCGACGTGGGCTGCGTTTGTCACTCAGCTCCAACTGACAATGGACACATTTTTCCCCAAGCAAAACTTTTCTGTTTTTCTTTCCAAGAAAAAAGAAAAGTCATTATGGATGGGAATGGAAAACTCACTTTGTAAACTAAAGATTGTTTTTATCTCCTGACACTCTCAATAAGATTCTTTTCTACTTTTAGAGACATCACTTGTTTACCTATTTATATGTTCTAATCGAACTGTTCTTTTCAAAGCCAACGCCTCAATTGGAGGAGAAATAAACTGTATGGAGGCACACTGCTCTCAAGGGATCTTTGCTTCTGCAGGGCCCCGAGGGCAACCATTTCTAATCTCTTGTAATCTCTGTTTGGGCCGGGGCCAGGCCGTTACTCAATTGCGGCATTAGCCACTCTGAGAGAGAGTGTGGCCAAAGGCTGGAGGCTGGACCAGGGTCATCTTGGTGGGGACAGAACTCAGAGGTGAGAAAGTCTGATGGCTGGTTTGGAAAAGCAGGAGGCCCTCCCACTGAAAGCTCCCTCTTTCCTTAAACTCTAGTGGGTTTCAGGAAGCTCAGGTCAGCGGCTCTCAACACACTGGTGGGTTTTACCACTTGGGATGTGTGTTATTATGCTTCTTATTGTGCTTGTGTCTTCCTGCATGGCGACTTCCTTCTACCGAGTTGGCGTTCTCCGTGGCTGGGGACATGGTCATCAAAAAATCATGGAGCCACATGGTGGCTCACTTCCTGGACAGCACCTTGAAAAAAAGGCAAGTCTGATCCTACGAGAGCGTGGCTGATCCTCCGGGGTCTGATGCCCTCTTCCAGGGCGATCACAGTGGCCTGGACGGTGGGGTGTGAGCACTAGACCAGCAGGCTCTGCTGTCTTCCCCGAGCGGTCGCTGTCACTCAGGAGGCACAAAGTGGCGGCTCCTATTTGAACAGCATGGTTGGAGGGTGAGGGATGAGCGGTCTCCCACCAAAAGTGGGAGTGTTGTCCCCTGAAGAAAGGCAGCTATTCTTTTCATATATCTACAGAGACTTGCAATGGTAGCACATCCTAAAAAGTCTGAGATAATAAAAATACTGGAAATTTAATTTTTAAAATAACTTAGGGAAAAGGGTCTAACATCTTCTGAATGCTTACTGTGGGACAAATTCTTTGTGTATGCAATCCTTTGTAATCTTCAAAAGAAACAAACAAAAAGCTCTGTGAGGTGGGCGTTATCATTCCCGTTTTACTGACAAGGACACTGAGACGTGGAGCAGTGACGTTATTTGCTCCAGGACACACGGCCCAATGGCTGAGCTGGGTTTTGAATCCAGTTCTGTCTGATTTTAACCCCAGACCCTTAACCGTCATAATACTCTGGCTTCCTCATTCATCTACCCAATGAACAGATATATGCGTAAAATTCTTTAAATTATTCTGATTCTGATTAATCATATTGGGCCTCTGTGGTAGTTTTAAAAGATGGCTGCAAATTCTATAACACTCCTACGATTGAGAGGCCAGTCTATGTCCCCTCTGCTGTCACCTGGGCAGGCTTGTGGCTGCTTGGACCAGTGGAGTATGGTGGAAATTATGCTCCCCAACTCCTGAGGATGGGTGTCTCAGTCAGCTTGGGCGGCCATAACAAAATACCATGGATTGAGTGGCTTAAACAGTGAACATTTATTTCTCACCATTCTGGAGGCTGGGAAGTCCAAGATCAAGGTGCCGGTGGATTCGGTGTCTGGTGAGAGCGCTCTCTCTGGTTTGCAGACGGCTGCCTTCTGTTTTTGTCCTCACGTGGGGGAGAAAGAAAGCTCTAGTCTCTCTTCTTCCTATAATAAGGGCACTAATCCCATCACGGTGGCGGGGGGTGGGGGGAG